TCTTAGGCCATGCATGTGTCGTTTTGGCCCTTTTTCCAGCCTCATCGGGTTGTCTCGCCTCTTGGATCTTCTTGTCATCGGGGTCCAGAACCCACTTCCGTATCAACAGCGCCCAGCGCAGCACCTCGACGCCAGCAGCCTGCGCCCCAGCGCACCCGGTGAGCCCGGCAGCGTGATAAAGATCGTGTATCTGCCTCAACTCGATTTGCTTCGAAACCCGAGCCGACGCCTTCATCTCTAAGCGATAGGTTGCTAATACGCGCGCCGACGCCTTCGTACTTCGCGATAGTTGTGAAGAAACTCGGATGTTGGTCTTATTTCTAACACGATAGGTGTGAAGAAACCCGGATGTTGGTCCTATTTCTAACACGATTTTGTATGTAAACTCACACACAAGAGTTGGTGAACAAACATTCGATTTTCTATTAATTCTTCGATATGAAAAATAACAAGAGGAAGGGCCTTTATATAGGCACCAACTACATCTAGTCTTAATCTACCTACTAATAAAGCAATGAAATATTAAGTAACCTAAACAATCTAGATATCATAGTGCAAGAAGGAAACCAAATAACTAAGGGATCTTGAAGCCTTGTCTTGCACTCCAAGCATAAGTCTTGCCTTGCACTCCAAGTAGAAGACTCCTAACCACCCATCCACGGCCTTGGTCGTCCACCGCCCGCGCACACCTTGCCCTAGTCCTTCGAGGACTAGGGTTGCGCCTCCTACACCCGCCTATCCTCTTGCCTCGAGGATTAAGGTCTCGCCCCATGCGTGCGCCATTCCTATTCCTTGAAGGATCGTGCTTCGAGCCCACATCCACTTTGCCTATTCCTACTAAGAATATGTTTCCTGATCCCTCGAGGATTACTCCAGTCACCAATCTTTCGTGTGCGTTCCGGCACTCAGTTGCTTTTCCTAGTCCTGCGGGGTCTAGGATTCGCACCTTGCCTATTCCTATAAGGATTAGGCTTACCACCCTAGTCTTGCGTCTCCCCGCATGTGCGCACGTGATTGCACCCTTCGCCTACATGACCATCTCGCGCGCGTCCTCGCCAACTGTGCTGGTGTCGCGCATGCCCGTTCGCTCGACATTGCCCCTGCGCTCGCCCTGCGCCCCGTGCTTATCGCCCAGCGCCCTGTGCTCGAGCTTGAAAGGGTCTGGGACCACTTCCGTATCATTCCCGCCCCCTTTAAGCACATCCTTGCCCTCAAGGATCCTCTTGTGCTCGTTCTCTTTACCCATTAGCTCTAAACACCCTAACTCTGCTCCTTTAATCGCTCCCCTCGGTTTGATTTTCAACATGATCAACCTATTATCCGAATAAAATTCCATTATCCCCTCCTTATAATTTGTTTTGACTTCTCCAAGTCCTTCTAGCCATTGCACCCCAAGGACTATGTCAAGTCCCACCAGCGGTAATGAATAGAGGTCTACCTTGATGATCTTGCCTTGAAGATTGATGGGCACGTCTCGATAATACTCACCGCATCGCAGTTTTTCCCCATTGGCAACTCTTACGTCGAATGGATCCACCTTTGTTGCCAATAACTTCAATGCGTCCGCTAATATGGCACTAATAAAATTATGGGACGGCCCGGTATCAATTAACACCTCGATAGATCGCCCTTGGACTGAAGCGGGCAACTTAATGGTTCTCGGCCCATGCACTCCCGACATCGCATTGACTGAAATTTCCAAGTCCTCATTGACGTAGTGCTTCGTTCCCACCTCCTCGTCACCTTCCATGTTGTACAGTTGTTGCTTGCACCGATGACCCGACGTGAATCTTTCGTCACAGCGAAAACATAGCCCCTTGCTTATTCGGCGTTGCCTCTCTTCCTCAGCCATCCTTTCGTGACCATTTGTTGTTGAACTTTCAACCTTGGGCGTGTTCTCCACGTATGTCCGCGGCTCCGTGCGTGCTGGTTCCGTGCGTACCTCTGCCCGTGTTTCGCCCTCGCGCGTGTTTGATCGGCCCATCTTGCGCACTGCAGCCAAGTGGTCGTCGCGCAAGCGTGCGGATTCCATGGTTTCCTGTAAGCTCCTTGACTTCTCGAGTCTAACCTCAGCAGCAAGATCCGGCTTAAGGCCTCCAATAAACGCGCCTATGAGCGCTCGCTCTGGCCAATCGCGTACATGACATGCTAGGCGTTCGAACTCCCTTTGATAATCCCTTAGGCTACCCGTTTACCTAATTCGCGTCAAGGCCTCATCAAAATCATAATATTGCGACGAACCAAACCTCTTGATCAACCCTTTTTCGAACTCCCTCCACTTCAATCGTTTGCCTTTGTTCGCGTGCGACATCCATTGCCACCATGTATTCGCCTCTCCATCGAGATAATATGCGGCGTACTTAACACGTTCAGCCTTGGGAGTCTCGTTGAGGTCGAAATATTGAGTGGCTCGACTCAACCATGCGTCTGGATCCTCTCCCTTGAACGTGGAAAGAACAATCTTCGGTTTTTCGATCCTCCGTTCTTTGTGGCGCCGTGAACCACTAGATCCCTGCGACCGGCGGTCCATCTCTTCTTCGTACGCGCTATCCTCGTCCTCTGAAGGTGCGGACTCCTCCGATGATGACCCTAGCGTA